ATGCAAAATCATGAAGGCACTGGTGAAGTTGAATTTTACCTCCTCAGTCTTGTGGCAATAGAGCCAGGGGCATTTGATGAAATTTATAGGAGGGTGGTTTAAAGCGGGTAGAGGGAGGTACTTTTGTTTTACACAGTGGGTGATGAACTTCTGAATTCATTGTCCTGGGGGCTTGTGGATGCAAAAGGCATCAGCAGGTTCAAAAAGCGTTTGGATAAACTTGTGAGCAGCCAGTCTCAAACAGATACTGAGAAGGGCAGCCAGGGATGTGCCTTCAGCATCCGTAATACGAGTGTGGATTCTGGGGGAATAAGGAAGAAGATGGAGAGAGGGTATGACCAGACTCACGTGCTCTGCCAAACAAACTGTTCCAGTTGTCCCAGCTGTAGACAGGATGGAGGGGCAACTGGTTTCACCCACAATGTGTATCTTACGTTCTTGAAAGTTTCCAGAAACGAGCATTAAGAAGGAACGTGGATAGAGATGCCATGTTGTGGAGGGGCCAGTGTGGCTTTAGTAGGCCAAGATTGAGTTGCATGACTCCATCGGTGCTCGGAAGGTATTTGTGAGCCCATGGCAGGGGTGATCGGGTGGAGGGGCCTAGTGGACCTCTCTGAAAGTTTTCAGCATGGGGTATCTGAGGAAAGGCCATCATGGGACGCGTGGGTGAATCAGTGGCTAAAAGGTAGGCTACGAAGATGAGGAGCAGGCGGGCAGACTTCGTGGTGGAGGGAAGTCGCTCGGGGAGCCAGGCTGGGCTCTCTGCCGCTCACAGCGTTTGTTCGTGACCCAGACACGGGATGGAAGCGGTGGCTGGGGAGGAGCGTGCCGCGGTCCACGTGTGCAGCGATGGGCTCCGAGCAAGCGAGGCGAGGAATCCTGAGCACTGCAATTGAGGAATGAGGTGGGAGGTGACAGGTCTTCCTGCGAGAGCGTCGGCCGGCGTTCGGCAGCGCTGCGGGAAGGGAGGAGGAGGTTGGAAACAGCAAAGAGGGGAGCAGAGGACGGAATGGAAAAGTCACGACAGCACAGCGGACTGCTGTCACGCTGAACACGAAGCCGGTGTCAGGTCACCCCATCTAGGAAGAGTCTTTGTTTCTGGCTGCTGAAGTACAGCAAGTGCCTCTGCGGTTTTTTGCTCCTTTCTTTTTTTTGCTCAGTGGCACACACGATGTACTGGAGGCAGATGACGACTGTCTAGGTGGACACCAAGTACAGAGGGAAGTTGAAGGTGGTCCAGATCTTTGCCCCGATCCATCGACTGTGCCATAAAAGCAGGACAGAGAGAGCACTGCCCGCTGTGCCGTCTTTTTGCATTTACCCTGTTTTCGCTGCTTTCCTTGCCTCTGCTGAAAGTGAAAAGCTCAGTTTTGGACTGAACACAAGCTAATAAATGCTGGGGTTTTTGGTGAGAGAAAACAAAAGGAACTTGTTTTGGGCACCAAATCAAAAAGTAAATTGTTCTCACACCACTGTTCGCTGTTACCATGTATAGCAATTACTGCCATGGCAACAGATTTCTTCAAGATCCAGCCAAAATCTTCCAGGGCTGCAACATAACTTCTGATAGTTTCTCATTGTGGTGCTATTAATAACTGTGTTTCCCCCCCTCGTCGCCAGGAAGTTTCTTCTTCCTCATGTACCAAGTGCAAGGGATAAGCTCATTTGAAATCAATGGTGGGGAGAAGTGACACTGGGGTTTTCCTGGATGTTTTTGTTCTGGAGATCCTGTCTAGCGCTGCCAGCTCCGCAGCCACCTCCTGAGCTGAGCTGGGCTGTCTCCCTCGTGCTATTTATAAGAAAGCTCAGGCTGAATTTTGGATTCCTTTCCTTCTCCCCCCTCCCCCTTAACCCAGGACAAACAGATGACACACATTTACTCTTCCAGCTATGCACAGAAGCTGAAGTGTTTATTTCAGGCTGGCTTGGTCAAGGGGAGAACCTGCTGCCAGTTACACATGACCTGGGCCAGGCTCTGCGCTGCACCATTTCCTTATCTCCCGGTCATTTAAGCAAGATAAACCCTGTGCATTCGAACTTGC